AAATAGCACCTTCTCAGAGTGGATCAACAACAATGGATCATTAGCACACTGATGGCTGTTACTATTCGCAGGGGGTTGAGTGATACTAGCAATAACTCAACCCTCTGTGAATAGTAAACAGCCATCAGGTGCTAATGATCCATTGTTAGGCTGATGGTCCTTCTTGATCATGTGATCAGCTGGTTCTGGTTGTCAGCAGCAAACTGGTTGATCCACTCTGAGAAGGTGCTATTTAAGAGACTGAGCTGAATATGTAGTGGTTATAAAACTATTTTATATAAATAAAAGGGAAAATAAGATCTAGTGATCTGCGATCGATTATTTTGGTCTTTCAAGTTCCGCGCTGTAGACCAATACAGTAAAAGGTTGCCTAAGTTTAATTAAGTTTAAAATGTATTTTCGTTAATGTTACTTTTCTGGTTATGTTTGTGTATAATTCTTGAAGAGTTCAACCTTCTGACATTTTAAGTTTTGAGAGTTTATCGTTCAAGTCTCGATTGGTTTTGTCTGAATTGATGTAGGGAACGCAATGCTTCTGCTCCTCCACTACAACACTGGAGAGGAGAGCAGTAACACATCGTGTCTGTGTGTTTTCATTATTCCCCTTTACAGGAGCGTAACAAATACAGCACCTCAGATGAGGAAGCCTCTCGGATGAGAAACGAAACGTTTCTACTTTTTTTTGCTTTGTTTTGTTTTTTTTGAATGTCCAGAGGACCAGACTGAACTTTTTTGGATGCTCCAGCAGTTGATCTTTTTCAACAAGCTGCTTGACAGTTGCCCCGTAGCCCTTTCCAGCCTTGTGGAGGTCTACAATGTTGTCTCTGGTGTCTTTGGACAGTTCTTTGGTCTTAGCCATGTTAGTAGTTGGAGTCTTACTGACTGTGTGGGGTGGACCGGTGTCTTCATGCAGCTACCGACCTCAAACAGCTGCTTCTCATTTAGAATAAGAAGTGGAGTGGAGGTGGACGTTATAGAGGAGGACTAACAGGTCTTTGAGGGACAGAACTGTTGCTGAATGGAAGGTGTTCAAATACTTATTTGCAGCAGTAACACACAAATAAATTATTAAAAAGTCATACATTGTGATTTCTGGATTTAGTTTAAGTTTTTTAGATTGCCTCTCACAGTGGACATGCACCTAAGAGGAAAATTTCAGACCCTCCATGATTTCTGAGTGAGAGAATTTGCAAAGTCGCAGGATGTTCAAATAATTATTTTACTCACTGTATGTGTATA